GGGGGAGCCTGAAAAAAAGCAAATTAATGCAATCAGCACCACATAAGGACTGGTAAGCTGCAATGAGTTCGTGTTTTTTTTTTTAAGTGATTAGATATACTTTAGAGAGGTCTGTTGTTCTCTGTCTAATCACAGGAAATGTATAGAAATATATTTAATCCTGTTCTAGCTACAGGAAATGCCCCTTACTCTAAGATTATTTGGACCTTGATGGCTTGTCAGACAGCAAATGAAGGTAAATCTGCTGCTTGCTGAATTACTGTTTGACTCTCTACCCATTAACCTGAGATGACAATCTACCTGTCAGACTTTTTGGGATGGATCCATTTACAATCTTGTGCATTGTTTCTATGCACTGTTGAAACCATTGTAGAAATCCTGGCCTCCGTGATAAGCAGCACTGGCAGCATCGGGCATTATAGCCCCCCCCCCCCCTCCCCCCCAAATACACACACACCTTCCTTGTTGATATAAACAGCGTTTGGCGAGGCCAAGCTGACCAGTCACACAGTAATTCTCTATGGATAAAAGCGTTGGAATGACAGACCATTACAAACTTGCCACTATGTTGAAAAATCTGTGTATGTGAAAAGAAGCCCTTCTTTGCTAGAAAGGACTCCTTCTCTTGTAAGCGTTAACCTTTGCATGACTCGATCATCTTGAGCAAGCCTTGTGCAATGCCTACAAATATTGGGTTGCACACGACCAGGCTCCCTTAAATGATGTAGCTGGGAATTCTCGGTAAGAGGCCACATTAGCAGTATTGACAGCCGTCTAGGCAACATTGAATAAAAACTGCATAGCTTTGGGGGATAAACGTTTCTTCTATGTCTTAAATATTTCATGATTTTGTGTATACGATTGCTGCAGCGTGCTACGTTCCAAAACCGTTTTATATAAACCTACAAGAGGATATTATGTGACTATCCCATAACGCAGGGAATTCCAATGGACGTAGTCATGACTGGGGCCATGTTCCATTATTATTCTTAGGCTAGCTTAGGCAAAGATATATATTTACAGCTATTGTGAACATACAGTATATTACCGCATATCATTTGCGACTAATGTTTGGAAGTTGAAAGCGAGCGCTGGACCCGTGTGATTATTCTATCGTCCAATAGTAATTAAGTAATGTGAATATGTGTAATCTGACTAATGAATAGGCAGCTATCACTGACCTGAGAGTCTCTACAGTATCCTTGGCTTGAAAGTGAATACAGTAGATGTAGGAATCGAAGCGCCACACCAATTAAAATAGATATAACTTTATTCCACTAGGGTCAGGGGACAACTGAGTAAAATAGCCAACACATTTCGGGGATCCAAAAACACCCCCTTCAACAGCATTTAGTGAGGAAAAACCAGCTGCTCACCATCCAGAAGCTTTCCCATCACAGCTCAATATCAATTTCAAGCTGCAGGGGTTATAGTCTACATACATGATTTCTCTCATTAAGCCCTGATGAAGGGTGTGTTTTTGGACCCCTGAAATGTATTTGCTATTCTATTCAATTGTCCCCTGACCCCAGAGGAATAAAGTTGTATCTGGTCTATTTTAATTGATGCAGCGCTTCAATTCCTACTTCTACTATTATCATTTATGACGAGCTGTGTATGGGTTTAAGTATATGTATAGCCAATTTATTCTTCGGTTTGGATAGAGTATGAGGGGATTAAACCACCTACAATGTATTTTTATTGCTGTCTGCTTGCCATTGTTTAGATCTCCCTTAACTTCCTGCCTGAGAAATCTTCCAAAGTGGGGATGATTTCCCGTTTTAGACAGTTGCCCCTGAAATGGCTGTAGTCTTTGCTAAAAATGTCAATTTACCTCTTCTGGGGAAAATTCTAAAACTTGGGATTTCCTTTGATTTTCATTCTTTGTGGCGATTGTCCGCAGTATAAATAGATAGGTTAATTTCCCCAATAGGGACACAGCAATGCAGCAATAAAAGCTTGACAGAGGATCTAAAGTGTGACATAGATGGAATTACATTTTAGCCAATTCCTTCTGATCTGGCCAGAATTTAAGCTGTGGATGGCCCGTCAGCACCACGCGACTCAACAAAAGCCGATTTACAATGAAACTAAACTCACTAAAATCTTAAAAATGCATTCAAATACCCCAAATATTAACAAAAATGTCTTTGAGACAAGAAACGAAAAAGGGCGCCTCCATAGTGTAATAACTAAATTTAATGATAAAATGCACAACTTGTATTGTACTTACAAAAGGTCAGTAGTAAACAGGCATAAAGGAATCAATAGGATATCGGATCATCTAGCAGCGGAAGTCTGAAAGAATACATAGTATCAGTGTCCACTGCCCCTGTGTAGTCAAGGTTTACGCGTTTCTGGGGCACGCCTCCTTCATCTGAAGCTGATAGAACTCACCTAAACCCTGCTCTTAATTGTCTAAGACTGACCTATCACAGGCGATCTCAGAAACAAGTCACAATATGCAATTGGACCAGTTATCTGTGTTGTAATTAGTATTGTCATTATCGCTGGAGTTTGTTAAAAAAAAAATTCGATGTTTTAGACACCAAACTAGGACACTGTTTATGCTGATTACCAATTTGTTTTTATCAGCTGATTGTCCTCTTTGGATGAACTCCAGCAATAATAGTTAAGGTAATTGAATGTATTTTTAAGATTTAACTCCTGAGTTTAGTGTCACTTTAACATCAACTGAGCCCCGTGGAAAACTATTGGCGGGGTGTAGTGAGTGGATGTAGTCACTGTTCAGCCATTCAAGCAACAGTGGGTGGTGCGGCTGCTTGAATAAAATAGCTAGCAGTGGATGTTCCTCCATGCATGTGGGCTAAACGAGAAATTTAGCGGTGTGTGGCTAACATAACACTTCTCTTCTTTAACCAAAACTAAAAACATAAAGACACTTATTATACTCGGTGGGGTTTCAAGAGGCGCTGAAGATTTCAGCGCCTCTTGAAACCCCACTGAGTATAATAAGTGTCTTTATGGTTAGAATCAAGGGGGTGGGGTGTCTAGCCACCCGGTTGGCTTAGTCCTTGGGGAGGTATCGTGTGAATTTGATATAGACCAAATGAAAAAAAAAAAAAAAACACGTTTTGCCTAGAGATACTTTAAAGACTTCTGAGTCATGCCAGAGAGCATCTTAAAGAAAAACTATACGTGTAGATAATAAATATTGGGACTATCATTCCTAACCTCTCCTGAAAAAAACAAAAAACCTTCTTCAAGTTAAGGAGAAGTTTTGTCTGAGGTTCTACTTTAATAACATTCATGAATAGATGTGAAAAAGTTTGAAGAATTATTAGAGCGGAAGATATTAAGGGAAGGGGCAGATATGCCACCACACAGCTGACCTCCTATCCAGTAATCCGGTAGAAAATTGTTGTAGTTTTCCAGCCAGGATTTTGCTGAAGATGGCATTATAGAGAAATAGGCCACACAGCCACGTTGCATAATGTCAGTTGCTAAGGGTGGGCACAACATGCACAATTGTGAATATTCGTGGTAGCTCTTCACAAAACTGCTTTTACGTTTTATATGTCACATGGGATCCAAGACCTCAGTGCTGTAGAAAAAACTCAGACAACATAGAAATCATGTTTAAACTTGTGAATCAGTTTCCAAATTTGTATCACTCTATTTATTGGGGGAGGTCCTTATCTGCACACTTGTTCACGGACAGTGATTCAAAGCATTGGAGCAAGAGGATCAGATTGACCGTTAGACAGCTAGCATCTTCAGGGAAGTTCTGCAATTGCAGTTTTCTTGTATGGAAGGTTTACTTTAACTAGAACCTCTCACTACAAGTAATGTGCCACTAAAAAAAGTCACATGGTGCCTGCACATACCTTTTTAGGGCTATGCATCTCCGGTGCACCATCTGAAGCACTCATTTTAAAAATCTCAACTCCATCTTCATGTTTTTAACTATCCGACATCACCAGCCACCCCCTTGCTATTAGATATTTACATTAGCATGCAATCTCTGTGGTGCCAAGTTCACTTTAAGTCCATAAACACTGATAATATATGGCCTTTATTCTGCTCATGCAGAATGTGCCATGATATAATAACAGCGATACATCACTATACATCATTTTGCAGCTTAAGTGACCGTTGAGTCATTTATATCACTTACCCCTCTCGGTGAGCTTCTCCCTTCTCCAGCTCCTGAATCACACCCAAAAGCACTTTAATTGTTTCCTGACTAGAGCTGATCAGGTTTTCCATGGTCTGAAGCTGTGCTTTTAAGTCTGTCACTTCTGTGTGAGGCACGATTTGTTGGCATCCATCACTCAAAGCAACTGTCGACTGACAAGGCTGATTTTTATCCGTGGGTAAAACCTTTATCTGCAGGGCCTGCTCATTACATTCCGTTGTTTGACACTGTGACTGCGCCGTGCAGGCCTTCGGGTTTACATCTTGGCCTTGCAAGCCATTAAGATGACTAGTTCTTTTGTCTTCTTCATCCGTCAGCGGACAGACCGTCCGTTCCATGTCGCTCAAGTCTTCTGGGTCTGTTAAGTTTGGGTTAAGTGTAGGGGAGTGAATGGTGGCTTCTTCTTTTAGAAGCACCTTAACATGTGGTGGGTGGTGGGACTGTGTGTTTCCCAATGGCCTTTTGTCGTGTTTGGTGGGTTCATGCAAATGGCAGATGGCCTGTTCCAAAGTGGAGATTGCTGGGTTTTGAAGAGGAGGGGATTCTTTAGTACAGCTGTGCAAATCAGTGCTTCCACATGCGTCTGAGCAATTGCTTGATGGGACAACATCCATGTTTTCACTAGAATGCACCATGAGATCAGCGACCACTCTTTCACCGACCCTGCGGCATTGGTTGGACTCCCCTGAGCTTTTGTGATCTTTTGTATCCTTAACCTCTATTACAAATCCATTGTTCTGGCCCTTCATTGTATCCGCTCCCGAGGCATTTTTTAACAGGTTCCCTTTTTTGCGGTCCAGTGGAAAAGTCTGATAGCGCTTTTTCAGGTCTGGCGAAGTCTGAACCCCTGTGCTCTTGGTAACGTTGGGTATAGACCGTCGGGCAGGCACTGTCATGTACTTCCGGTAAGCTTTATAAGAAAGCGATTTGCCATCTTTATTTTCGCTCTGTGGCATCGTGGAAAGCTGTTTATCCCTCTGCTCGTTCTGAGCTTCGCAAATATCTTTAAACCTCACTTGAAGGGCTTTATTCCTCTTCTTGATCTGCCGGTTGGGGTCCAATGCATATTTCATTTCTAAGGCTAAGGAAACAGCTGGTTCAGCTTCACTTTCCGAGGATGTCAGCACACATTTCTCCCCCTCCTTGCTCACCATGATTCCTGTATGCAAACACAGAGTAATCAGTAAATAACATCATTTAAAGTTACGGTTTAGTCAAGGCCTTTCTGACTGAGTGAAATAGGGTTTCCCCTTTCATAGATAGACTACAAAACGGTCCTGTCAATGTGCCTTCCTGCTGCTGATTGGTGGGGGTCTCCTTGTTCAGAATCCCCACCAAACAGTTTTTGATCAGCACTGCCAAGCAGCTTTGTTTCTACCACTGATGAGAACTGCTCAGTTTCTTGTGCTCTGTGCAGCCTAGACTCAGAATTTTGTTGCCTTTCATTAGGCACCTCTGACTGGGTTGAGCCATGAAAAATACTAGGCTAGGAGAAGATCTGGGATGCAGAAGCTTTGCAAGTGCTTGACAGCCCCATGAATACTTTTATTTTAAAGCCCATTTGAAACACATTTATTTCTTCAACACAGTAAAGCTGTATATACTTTAGTAAGTATGCTTGTCTTTTTTTTCTTAAACATACTATGTGTTGCAGTATGAGTTGAATACCCTGTGCTGGCAGCACACTGAAGAGCCAGACCACTGCCCTTACATACAATGCAGCAGCCTGGGTTTCCAGTGGTCCAACACCCCTCCGTCCCAGCTTCCCCTCATGCACAGTGCTCCAATTAACAAGCGCTTCCACTCCCTGAGCAGAGCTGTTATTTGGAGCAGTGTGCAGAAGGGACCTGTCAGGCTGGACCACCAAAGACCCAGGCAGCTGCGTGGTGCGTGAGAGCAGTGATCAGCACAGGATATTTTAACCCTTGCTGCAGCACATTGTACATAAAATAGGCAACCATATTTATAACTGTATGTGAAGCCTTGTTGTGTTGCAGTAATAAATGCTGAAGGTTTAATTGGGCATTAAGACTTCAGATTATAGTGGATAACAAGTTGCACAAACATGTTAGCCTTTTAGCCATTACAAAGGCTGGTGTTCCTGAGCGCTGTGAGGTGACATTTTAGACACTGTAAAAGCTTCCTCATCTCTTCCTTATTTTTATTTTGGTTTATCTTACTTTTGTGCTCTGTCCCCATTTAAGATCTTATTCAATGGTTTCCAGTGAACAGTATCACCTCTCCAGTGTGGTTATAGTGTTAAAGAGCAGCATGTTAGCTGTGCTTCAGCCAGAGCAGTGACCTCTGGACTCTGTGGAGGAGACCTTTTACTGATAAGGTAATGAGTTATGTCTTCACTGTTCAAGTATCCAAGGATCAATGGTGTAGCTTAATTTATTATCAGACAGCAAGCGGCTAGGTTCGGCTTCCCCTTTCTGATGATTGAAAATAAGGGTGCCACAAACAAAAGTGGTCACCAGTGCATGCAGACTTGACACAAATACCCGCCCGTGCTGCATAAGTGGGGCGTACCTTGTTGGGTATTTTGAACATTGATCATTTCTGTTCATGTAAATGGAAAGGGGATCTAATATACATGTTGGTTGTCACATATCTCAGGGAGAACAATAGCGGACAGAGCAGGTATGCTAACCTTCCAGGTCAGTTGTTCTCCAAGACAGTGGATTGCCAGTGATGGGAAACAAAAAACTTAATTTGTCAAACGGAAAAATATAGAATACAAAAGAAATACTTGTACATGGTCTAACCCCGTGGTTCTCAACTCTCAACGTGGTTTGTGACCCCATGTTCAGTGGGTCGCTGCATTCTTTCCACTGCACTATGTAAGAGGCTCCTTAGCCTCCCCCATAGGGCAGCACTGTCCGTTCTCAAGCCGGGCAGTCATTCAAAATATGCTGCCTGGTGCTCAGTGTCAGCTTGAAGTGGGGTGGGGTGGGGTGGGCTGGCCGTGAGGGAGCTCCATCCATACGTGCATTGCTTACAGCTCCTTCGCGTGACCAGAGTGACGTCACATTCGGGCTTGCGGCACCTCTACAGGGAGTGCAAGGGAGCTGTAACAAGCAATGCACATATGGATGGAGCTCCATCAGAGCAGAGCAGCCCATACTGAACCCCTAAACATTTTTGGTAGTGTGTGTGTGATTGTGCCTGTAGTTATGTGTGTCTGTCAGTGTTTTAATCGCAATTCACCACACAATTGCACCTATTGTTCGTTCTGGCGTGGGAGGTGCGCTGCGCTGCCATTCGTTTGAATGGCACCCCAAAACACACCCACCCACAGTTTGATAGCTTGCACCAGAACATGCATTACCGTAATGCCGGGCGACTTTGGTGGCGACTTAATGACCAAGGACAAATGTGGATCCTAAGGTTATACAAGTTGAGAACCACTGGTCCAACCCTTCCAAGCTCTCTCATACCTAACATTGCGTTGGCTTCAATGGATTTTATAGTATTTGTGCTACCTGGCAAATCAACAAAAATTGTATCTTTCATGGAAACTGCACCTGTGTTCATGATGGAAGATATATAATATTCATGACCTGCCCAGGTTATACTTATAGCTCAGTGTTGCACAAAGGCTGTGCTTTGATTAAGAGAGAGTTATTAGGCAAGCATTTTAGTTAAGAATGAAACAAACCACTGTTAAAGTCCATGCTTTCCTTAACCAGTTGACATCCGCGGTGTTAAACCCCCTTCCGATCCAGGCCATTTTTCAGTATTCAGCGCTGCGGTACTTTGACTGACATTTATTCCGTCATGCAGCGCTGTACTGAAATGAATTTTATACCCTTTTTTGGGGACAGATAGAGCTTTCTTTTGGTGGTATTTATTCACCACTGGGGGTTTTATTTTTTTACTATATTAAGGAAAAATTACCGAAATTAAAAAAAAAAACAGTTTCCCCTATAGCCTCTTATTTTGGTGCTGACGGGATAGTGGTGGCTGCTGCTTTCTCCAACTTGTACATCACCTTCCTGTTCTACACTGATGTATAGAACTGGATGTGCACTATTTGCACTCCATGTCAGAGAAGGGGGTTCCTAAATGTGTTCCCTACCTTTCAGCTTTATTACTATGGGGCAGTATAACAGCAGGGAATGTGTGGTGGCCGTAATGTGCAAAGTAGTACTTGTATTGTGATTTGTTGAGTGCTTTAAAAAAAAAAAAGTGACAACACTAGATGAACATTGAAATGTAATGTTATGACACGTATAAAATTTAGATTTTTGTCCACTGATATGTTTTAGTGTCATTTTTGCATTGTACTCAGCCTGCAACATTAAAATCTAGTGGCTTATGTAAGATGATAATTGCACAGTCTGACATGTAGATGGACTCAGGGGAACAATAAATGGGCACTAATAAATGAAATGCCCTCATGAAAATATGGCAATAGGAAGCAAGTAAGAAGGTGACAGTCACATGAAAAATGTCTTTCATGTAAACACTCTGTAATAACTCCGAATGTGTATTCAATGAAAATACGCCATCCCTTCCCTTTGATGCAGATGTACAGAGTTGGTGATGCTGCCAGAGGGGGAAGAAAGGATTCCTGCATGGATAAAACATTTTTCACAGGCTGCATCCTTCACTTCCAAAAGCAAACATTTTGTAACTTTGGTGTAAAAAAAAACAAAAACTTTTTAATATGCGAAGAGGAAGCATTTCTGCTTTTTCAGTAACACAGGTTGGGACCTTGCGGACTCTGCAGAGTCTTAACGATAAACGGGTCTCTTGAGACGGCTTTGTATTGACCTAGCATGAATTTGTATAACACAACCAAATCCGCACTTAGCAGTCTCTTTTCCAGTGTAAGCAAATCCAATTATAAATAGCCAGCTCTCAACGCTAGATGATACTCTGAATTTCTATCTTGCAACACTGTTAGCATTCTAAAAGGTAAGTGAGCAAGTAACTATTATACTGCTAATGTTGTCCAACATTCTTTAAGGCCAACCACCAAATCAGATCTCTGACCATGTTCAACAAAACACTGTGAACTTTGTTAGTGCTTAAAACTGCTCTTAGTTAAAGTGACACTAAACTCAGGAGTTAGATCTTAAAAATTCATCCAAGTACCTTAACTATTAACAAAAAATTTGGATTATTTTTGTAACCCTTGGCTGCAGATCCTCAAATCATCTGTGGCATGGTGCTGACACTGCCCTTCCTTCTGGAGTGTGGCTACATTTTTTTCTCTATGTTCCAAGCTTGTTCCTGTGATGGACTAAAACTTAAGTACAAATTAGTAAACTAAGCATGAGATTATAGTCCATCATGGGAGTGAACTTGGAGTGGTGCTACTTTACAACACACACAGGGACCATGGGGAACAAAAGTAGCCACCCTCCAGAAGGAAGGACAGTGTCAGCACCAATTCAGAGATGATTTGAGGATCTCCAGCCGAGTGATACACAAACAAGATACTTTTTTGTTAACAGTTAAGTCACTCTAACTGTAGCCATCAGTCAGATGCGCACTCTCAGATTCCAGTTAGCATTTTTAGAGCTGGAATGAATGTGATTGGTGGCTGTAGGAAAATTGTGACAGTTCTAAGTAATGACACTTGACATTGAAGTCTTCTGTTTGTAATGGTAGCTGCTCATCCTACCTTTTTGCTCTCTTTCCTCCTACTGCCAGCTTTTAGAGAAAGTGCACTGATTCTAAGGGTTTGTTCACATTAGATTTGTTGTCATGCATTTGCAATGAGGTGTGTGGAAGTAAACAGGAAGTATACTCTGCGTATCTAATATATTTATATGGTTATTTAAACTCAAAATCAAACATTCTATAGATTGCAGCGTATTAATTCTTAGATGTGGTGGTTTAAGCTTTTTTTTTTTTCATTTTAATGTTTACTTGTTGATCTGGCCAGTAACACTCTTCATGTCTTAGGGTGGCTCCACTCTATTGAGGATCAATGGAGCCATCCTTGGACAGCGGCATTGTCACCCTAGTCTTGCACTAGCAGAATTAGATTAACATGACTAACAAATTGAAGCTGAACTACGTATAACACTTTATAAGCGGTTACAGTAAAAAAAAAATCCCTTTTGGGATAAAGGTTTTACATAAGTGAATAAAAGCCGCCCATCGTAAGCTCCCCTGGCAGTGTTTAATGGTTTGTCTCAACCT